ACCTCAATTCAGACTCCACCCTTAAAAAGCCCGCCATTTGAGGCTCCACCTCCAGGGGCTCTAAAAGCCCCCACTTCTGAATACACCTGATTCCTAGTTTCCTGTTCTCATTGGGTCACACAGGAATACTTTGCTCAGATTAAACATGGATTCATTAATTCAGTCTAATTAAATTGCTGCATCACAAACCATGGGTTTCCTACACTATTTCACTAACCGGGATTTTTAAACAAAATAGGGAAACTGCAGTCACTTTAGGTACCTGCAGCTGTGGTATGGGGAGGACAGGAAGGCAGCGCCAGGAAAAGCAAGGAGCTGGGCAGGCGGGAAAGGGGAAAGGGCTTGTGGTGCCTCACTGCACTCAGGATGCACCTCCCCCCACCCCCACTGGTCTCTGCTGCACAGGCGCAAAAGGCACTGCAAGCCGCAGCCCTGGTCGTGCACACAGGGAGGGAGGCTCTGAACTACAGGTCCCAGCATTCACCCCTGTAAAGCCTGGTTGCACTGCAAGGTGGTGCTGAGACTTCAGCTGTGAGAACATGAGTTCATTTAAGGTTCCCATGCGCAGCTGAAGATCAGTAGACATAGGCAATAGATCCCAAACGCCTCCAGTTGCACCTGCCCCCAAACCTCACCCCTACCCAGAGCCATCTCTCCTGCTGGATTGAAATGAGATGATGAAATGATTGGGGCTCCCCCCCCCACACACACACACACAGCACATAATAATACCTGTTGCTCCCTGGACTCCTTGACCTCTCCATTTCATTACATTCAAAAGAGACCAGCCCTTCAGCTCTGGGAAAGGTATTCCCCTTGTGTTGTGGTTTCTGATGATTTTCCCACTTCCCTCTACAGCCACCCAACCTCTCCTGCCCTAAAAAGCAAACCAATCCAGAGGTGCGTCCTCTCTCCAATTCTTTTCCACCAGTTCTTTCTGGAGCGCACTCCCAGCCACTGCTCTGATGCACTTTATCAAAGTCCTCCTTGATCTTGGAATGAGCAGCTGGATCCAATGATAGGTTTCAGTGCTCATATCTCTCAGTTAGCAATAGGAGACACAGCTGATTGCCTCTGGAGTGACACAGTGTATGCAGCCTCTTCTACCACAGTAGTTACTGCTGTCACCAATTTTGCATGCACTTTAGCCTTTGACTTGGGATTATTTACACCTCGGAAAGATTAATCCCTAATTTTCTTTATTATAGATGCAATAGCTTAGTAGCCAATAATTAACGGAGTAGACATCACTGAATTTAAGCATTGGAAGAAAGCTGTAAAATGGATTTATGAAGTTAGCATGTCTATAGTGCAACATATTTCTCTTATTTATCTGCGTCTGTCAAAATGCAATTGCGAGTAAAAGAAGGATGTGGGGGTTCAGCTCTTTGCCTGACTGACATCTAAACTGCTTACCAAAACTTTTAATTTTTTTTTTAGTTCTTGTGATGATACCATGGCTGGTCTGGAAACTCCTGTTTATAAGGTAGCATGTGGTAGCTGAAGTTGCTGGATCATGGTTACAGGTACCCCACTACCCAATTTTAAAGTGAACTTGTAAAGAAAGGATGATACTTGTTATATAATTATTAGGGTTAGGGATTGATTTTTTTCCAAACATTTTAGAGGTTTTCCCTGTGTACTAGTGTGTATGTATCTTATATCTGCTTTTGATGCTGTTTAAAGTTGCCTTTGCAACTTTTTTGACAGTCCAAAAATATTTCCAAAATTGAAATATTTTAAAATCTTTTAGGTTATTGCTTGCTAAGCTTTGTTGACTAAGTGTAGATATCAAAGATGATAAGGTTTTGATTTGTTATATTTTGGTGTGTAGTTTTTGTGTATGTCTGTTGGCTCCTTCCTTCCTTCCACAAGATTTCATTTCTGCTCTCACCAACATCTTGCCAGGCCTCAAAAAGATGCCAGAGTTCCTGATACAGTCAGGAGTGCGATGAAACAACCATCTACCAGGATGTGGCAGCACCCCAGCTTTCTCAGATCCCCCAAAGATGATCAACGCACCAAGTCAGCAGGAAGCAGTCTTGAGAATTCAACATCCTTATTCCCTATCCCTCCATAATCAATCCCCAATCTTTTTAATAACAATAAGAGGTGGGAATGTTGGAAACTGGCATTCTGCTGACCAAGCCCCCTAAGGATGGGTAGAACATGCATGGCCATGTCATCTCTAGATCAATGATTACAGGGCTTGCATAGAGGACTCAGTTATGCATGCACAAGTTTCTCTTTTAAAGCTAGCGCCAAACAACCCCACTCGCTCTCCTGCTTTCTGGTGGCCATCAGCAACCCCCCTTTCTCTTCTCTCCACCAATAAACTCCTCATGGGCACACTGAGTTTCATGTTTGTGTTTCATTGGCGATAGCTGCAGCAAAAGAACAAGGCTGAGTCTAAACCTGAATCTAACCCTGAGTCTAAACCTGAGGCTAACCCTGACCCTGAGGCTAACCCTGAATATAACCATGATTCAAGCCTTGATTCTAATCCTAACACTAGTTTCTCAAAGTGAAAATTCCATTTGTCTTACCTTGCCATTTTGTCATCATTTCTCCTCTTCAAGGCTGAGATCTTCAAAGGGATTACTGCAGAGGAAAGGTTCAGGGCACTGTCCTTGTCTTCCATCCAATGTTCCTTGTGTGGTCTTCTGGTTTAACACTCACAAGTCAGGTATTTCCCTCCTTCAGTGCCTTAGCATGTGTTCTACAAAGAAATGAAATTACAAAACTGAACAGAAATGATATGCACAGGCGGCAGGCCAAGCCCCTCTTTGACATCCTGAGCATGACTTTATTTAACGTATCAGGTAGAACAAGTTGTGTACTAGCTGCTGTTGCACTAGCATGCCCAGGTTTGGGAAGACAGCAGAGGTGAAAAACTGAGATCCATGTTCACTGATCAAATGCACCTGAGCAGAGGACTAGGAAGGGAAGAGCATGAGGAGGGGGAGGAGGCAGGCCATAGACAAGGGACCAGAGGGAAGAGAGGAGCCAGGGAAAGCCTAGGAGGAAAGCAGACAGACAGGAAAAGGGAGTTGGGGGAGAGAAGGCAGGAGGAGTAAAGAAAGAGTGCCTGGTAGGTAAAGGCAGAAAGTTGAGAATAGGATAAGGCAAATTATCCACAAAAGGGCATCAGTACATATTAGTCCTACATACGAACAATAAATGCCAGAAAGACAGCCAATTAAGAATTACCTGGCACAGACAACTTCATCTTTCAAATTAACTTAATGCTACAAACATACACCAAAAAGCGCTGCTGAACCTCTGAGGAACAAGATCAGCCTGGGGTGGCTGGAGAACCTCTCAGCCCCCTTTAACCCTGAGTACATATGGCCTTGGTTCAGCACAGAGTACTCACCATCCCAGGAAGGGCAAGGAACAAAAAGCTGACTCCTGTCCCTTCTGACCATGGGGACCGTGGATGGTCAGCCTCTGGGGAAATAAATGAAGTCAAAATCTTTTCCACACCCCAAGAGAGGTGGCAGGCACCAGCACATCTCCTCACTATAGCTGCTGAAGCCTTGGTTTCAATGAAGACCCTCTCTGTCACTCCATCAGCATTTCAGTGGGGAAAGGTGGAAATGTGACACCAAGCTCCTATCAAAAAGATTTCAGAGGTGAAGTGAGAGCTGGATCCTTAAAGATCCCCATATCCAACAACAGCGACCAAGGAAACAAGTAATCCTCTCAGGCACTCCCCACCTACAATGGAAACAGCAGATGTGGTGGCTCATTGCATCATGCCTTGACTTGGCATTTCATCTCCCTGGCTCCTGGTGTATCAGTGCTGGGATCACAAGTGTTCAGTCCTCAAGAATACACTAACAAAATGCCAAGAAGATGGCTGTATAACTATATATCGTGTTGCTCTTTTCTTCAATGATAACACACACACACCAGATATGTTTTTAAAAAATTAAATTTGTCTTTACCTGGTATCTCTAGATAATTCCTTTGGGAGGCAATACTTCAAGGTGAGTACCAAATGAATAAAACTGGAACATGGAAAAAAAGCAGGAATGTAAAAAAGTATATACATATCCATAATAAAAACAAACTAGGTTATGAAATACACAGTTGATTAATGATTATCCTATTTTATTATATCTCTAACAGACAGATATAAATGTTGTTTTGGATACACACATGAAGTATTTTATCTTTCTTATATTCTCTTCTATTAAGCATTTTTTAATACTAACATTATTAAAACAGGTGACAAAGGAGCACACATCAACTATCCTTAGTCTTAAACTCAGAAGGCTGAAACAGGAGTTCAAATGTAGCTATGAATAATCACTGACATCCAAGACAGGATGGATAACAAACACCATCGTCTGAAGGGAATTTCTGATAATATGAAAAACAAAACCAGGACCAAGAACCCACCACCCTCTCCCAGATACCTTTATGTGAAAAATATAACAATGCCTAATATTTAACTAAACAATAAACCAATCACCTAATGGGCAACCAATTCTATACATTTCAGCAGGAAAAAAAAGGGGGGGGCTATTACCAAGTGAAAGTTCAACAGAAGAGGAACAGAATTCAAAGAAGGAATGTATGAGCCAGCAAATACACTGATGGAATATATGAACTTCAGTAAGTGGATTTGCCACATATAGAGAACACTTCCAAATCAAACAACACTGATCTCAACTGTCATACTTGAATGGATATGGTAAACAATGTACTTGCTTCAAGACACTAATGAGAGAGATGAACATATTTTCCATTGAAACTGAAGTAAACTGTAATATGTAAAGTCTTTACCATATTGTATACATGGATAGGATTTTTCTCATTCTTCCCTATTTCCTAATGTCAAGTTGAAATATAAAGGTTTACAATACTATAGGGCTAGAGATATTGCCAAGCAGTTAAAACTTCATTCCCAAGACGAATGTCAGTTTTTGACAATTATTAAAGAGGATCCAATGGTATAAAATATTGAGAGGGATAAAGACAGGACTAATCAGTTAAGACAAGTCCCTGCCCAGAATCCAGTTGAGGATTTTGACAACATTCTGTAATTCCTGTTAGAAATAAATACAGGAAGACTAAAGGGTTTACCGTTCTAAGCACATGCAGATATCTAAAGACACAGACATAACAAAATAAATATTAAACAAAAATCATTAAACATTTTCAATAAAGACTATTTTTCTTTTGTAAGCATTTATTCCTGTAACCCAGATGTTGAGGCATATAAAGGCTTACCTATTTTTCAGTATCATGAACTACTTCGTATAACATAAAGCAAGCATGTAGGCAAGAAGTCAGAGAAATCAATACTTCACAGTTGGTGGTATCATTTGGGATGATTTAGGAAATGATGCCCTGCTAGAGAAAATGTGTCACTGGGAGTATGCTTTCATGATAAATCATGGCACACCATTTCCAGTTCCCGCACTCTGGTTCATGCTGCAGGTTTGAGGATGTGAGATCTTAGCATCCTGCTATAGCAGCCATGTCTGACACCTGTTGCCATGCCTCTTTCATGGTGATCCTGTATCCCTCTGGTACCCAGAGTCAAATTAAACTCTTTCATGAGTTGATGTAGACATTGTTTTATCACAACAGAAAAGACACAAATAAACATCCATCAGGTTTTATAACTGATTTATTTCATGTCATTGAAGAGGAAAATTAAAATGGTTACTTTATCATTAAATTTGTGGGGCTTTGTCTATGAGTTTGCAAATGCAAACAAAATAAAGACTGGCATTTGTTGACGACATCACAGGTTATTTTCTCTGGAATACTCTTGTATAACTAAAATGTGTTGACTAAAGATCTTATGAAATCCTTTATAGCCAGACTTTCTTCTGTATGAGGTCTTTTCAGGTCATCAAAAACTGTTATGATATGAGCATGCTTTAAAAAGATTGATCAAACACTAAAAGTTTTACTCTTGTATAAAGACTACCACAAAGTGAAAAACCTTACCACACTGACTACATTTATAGTTTCTCTGCAGCATGAGTTTTTTTCTCATAATTTGAGACTACAAATATGTCCAAATGCTAACCAGATTAGTTTCATATTTGTTCTCCAACATGTGTTCTTTTATGCATTAAAATATTACTGTGGCTTTACCACATTAACTACATTCATAGGGTTTCTTTCTCTCATGCATATATTCTTTTTTTGGAGACTGTCCTGTGAAATAACTTACCACATTGATTACATTCATAGGGCTTATCTCTAGTATGGGTTCTTTTATGAATTTGGAGGACTCTTGTGAAAATGTTTTCCCATATAGGTTTTATTTGTAGGATTATTTTATGCACTAGTATATGCATATACTTTACCACATTGATTACATTCATAGGGGTTCTTGTCAGTGTGGGTTATTTTATGCATTAGAAGACTTACATTATATACACAGGCTTTACTACATTGATTATGTTCATAAGGCTTCTCTCTAGTATGGGTTTTTTTATGAAATTGGAGTTCTTGTCAAAAGGCTTTACCACATTGATTATATTCATAGGGTTTCTCTCCAGTGTGGACTATTTTATGAATTTGGAGATCAGTCTGTTGTGAAATGGCTTTCTCACATTCATTACATTCATAAGGTTTCTCTCCAGTGTGGGTTATTTTATACCTTAGAAGATTACCATGATATACAAAGGCTTTACCACATTGATAACATTCATAGGGTTTCTCTCTAGTATGTGTCCTTTTATGTGTTAGGACTACTGTACTGTGAAAAGGTTTTACAACATTGATTACATTTATACAGTTTCTCTCTGGTGTGGGTTCTTTTATGAATTTGGAGATGACAGCTGTGAAAACTCTTTACCACACTAATTACAGTCATAGGGTTTGTCTCCAGAATGTGTTTGGACATTACTGCTCTGTATAAATTCTTTACCACATTGATTATATTCATAGGGTTTCTCTCCAGTATGCATTCTTTCATGTCTGCAATGATAATTGGCATAGTTAAAAATTTTAACACATTCATAACACCAGTGAATATATCTGTATGAATTAATTTTATAATTTTGTATAATTGTAAAGAAAAATCAGATCTTAAGATTTTATCACTGTTTACACTCATGTTGTTCCACTTCACTAAGGGTTGTTTTGGATCTTTGAATACAGCTGTGATGGTTAACATTTATAGCATCTTTTTTCTATATAAAATTTTTCTCATATTTGAAGAGAACTAGAAAATCTCATAAATTTTCCTATATTCTTTGTCATAATACATTGGTAAAATGAACCAGGACAAACAGAAGTACATACACATTTCGAGTACACATGGGGCTTTTCTGAGTGTGAATTGGTTGATATATTTCCAGTGAAGCTGGAAAAGCAATTACTTGTAAACTTGTATCTCATTCAACAAATATTTTCAAAGTGGGGGATGCTACATATCTTTTAATTGTTCTGAGAGATAGAGGGGTATGTTGCTTCTTTTGATATCCTCATCATATGGCTTGTATTAAAAGTGACATACGATAAAAAGTATCCACATTGCATAACCATGATTTAACTTTATGTTCCTCATAGATATATGATGTAGAGACTAAGGTTTCTCGACAACAGTCACCCTTGGTTCTTGACTCTAACTACACCTCCTCTCACTAAACTTAGCAAAGTCACAAGTATATGAATAACACAAGCTTTATTATGAACTACTTGCTTATTAGAAAGTGTTGAACATGTATTTATCACTTATTCAATGTGCATACCTTTTGTAATATAACTGGTATAAACTAAATAGATTGCTGGTTCTACAGCAGTGCTATCATGGGGCTATGATTGAAATGGTGATATCTGTTAAGGCATTGTTTCCTTGTCTACTCGCTTAAAATAATGTCTTGCAAAAAAAAAAATCACCTAATTGACACTGTGATATATGGTTTTCTAAGAATTTAATAATCATCAATGCACTTTAAGCACTTTAATTACATTGTTGCTGTCTTTAAAACTTACAGACACCTTAAAGTTTCTTGAGGCATATTTGTATTAGCTTGCACATCAAAATTACCTTCTGTGTAGCCTAAAATATAGTACCAGAAAATGCCTGATATATTATTGGAAATTGTGCAAAATTTAAGTTATTACCTTCATAAACCTTAGAACCATGCCTGATTTATTCACATCATTCTTGCTCAGTTTCAGTTGTAATTACAGAGGAGCATCAATAACCAAGAAACAGTTGCCGTCTTATTTTAAATTGTGAAGAAAAATTCATAGTCTTACCTATAGCAGTGAGGTTCCTGTAGTCTCCAGCATCACATCTTTACAGAGATTCTTCTGGGAAGGATCCAGCAGAGCCTACTCTTTCCTAGTGAAGTCAACATGCCCATTGTCATAGATCAATGCATTCTAAAATATAACATAAATGTATAAAAAGTGACACTAACAACACTGAAAATGTATACTTCTTTGAAAATTTAATTATCACGCTTCCCACACTTATTCCATGACACAGAAGTTCTAATGTAAGCACCAAGTCACTTAAGAAGAAAACTGAATAGAGGGTCACCTCTGTCATTTCTGAAATGCCTATTAACAAACAGAGAGAGAAGCAAACAGATCAATAGTACTCAGTGCACATCAGAGACATTGCATGAACAATTACTAACTGTAATAAAGATAGGCAAACTGGGTATACTAGCTCATGCCTCTAACTGGTTCAAGAAACAGTGAAAACTCTGGTATCTGATGAATGAAGAATTTGCAGTTGGCATCATATTTTCGGAAGCCTCATTCTTGTTCTGAGCATATGGTAATCAACTCATTAAACTGTAAATATTGAGAACAACAAAATGCCCTGGGCATAGAGAAAGCATTTCAGTCCACTGAGGCTGGAGACACCTGCAGCTGTGAAAAGCTAAATTCATTATTAAAAGTATATCTGCATCTTCTTTACACAGACCTGAGTGAACTCACACCCCAGCCTCAACATCCACAAAAGACTACTATGACACCATATGGAATAAATGCATGATTCTTAAAGACATATCTGTGCAAACTTTGAAAGAAGAAACTTCAGGAATTGTTTCATCTCCATGATGACACCTCAGGTCAGAAATATTGTATTCCTGATTCTTGGTGTGGCCCCATTTGATTACCATTTCAACCATAACAGAGGGTGTATATATGCTGGTCATAAACCAAACATAGATGGCTCTAGAGATTCAACAGAGTCCCTGTTGCTTTATATTTCTCATTTGTCTGTTCATAACTTTAACATACAAAAAAAAAAAAAAAAAAAAAAACCCTCTCCCATCGCCCAGAACCAGAACCACATTCTCCTACTTGATGCTGACCAGGTTAGGATGATGCTATACAATGATTATCCTAGCTCAGAGTCCTACAGTTACAAACCTACTATGACCCTCTTTACAACATTTTTATTTGAAAGTGATAGCATTTCCTTTTATTTCTAAATGTATTTTCAACTCAGTGCATACCAAACCTGGAGAAAATATAAATATCCTGTGATCTATATTACAACCATTTTGATTAATAATTATATGTGTTAGTTCCTGAGATTTATTTTTCTGCTTTCTGCTTTTCTTGTTGTTGAAAATTGCTGTTACATTGTTATTAATTCTTATATGTGGTCCTCATTGGCACTATGTATGACTCAAGGACTAGGGGACCTTCCCACAATAATACTTCCCCTAACCACTGTCTGCATGGAGTGTTTGTCCCTCACCTTCCATGGTTTGGAGACACTTGCCGAGGTACCTCTCTCACAGTATTATAACTTAGGTGCATTTGTGTTTTGTTCTTTAATTTTTATTAAATCGATTCATTTATTTTACATGCTGACCAGTTTCCCCTACCTCCTCTCCTCCTGTTCCCTCCCTTCACTTCCCATGTAGCCCCCATCCACTCTTCCTCCATCTCCTTAAAGAAAGAGACAGGTATCCCATGGGAGTCAACAAAGCATGACATCAAGTTGAGGCAGGTCCAAATTCCTCCTGGATCAAGGCTGGAGGAGGCAAACCAGCATGGTTCCTGATCCCAATGCATGGAACCCCCCACAAACAGACCAAGCTACACACCTGTCTATCACACACATGCAGAGGGCATAGGTCTGTGTCATGCAGGCTCCCTAGCTCTCAGACCATGGTCCAGGAGCTCCAATGAGCTCATGTCAGCTGTCTCTGTGGGTTCCACTGTTGGGACTTTGATTCTCCTGACTCTTCCATGTCTTCAACTGGACACACAGAGCTAAACCCAGTGCTTGGCTGTGGATCTCAGCATCTGCTTCCATCAGTTATTGAATAAAGGATCTCTGATAACAACTAGAGTAGTCACCAATTTGATTATAGGAGATGGCCAGTCTTAACTGGGGTAATCCTTGTGGATTCCTGTTTTGGTCTTAAGGAAGAAGCAATGATCCACATTTGAATCCTTTTACTGTAACTCCATTAGATAGTTGACTACATGACTCAATAGATGATTTTACAATTCTAAGGTGGTACGATCATTTAATTTAGGAAGCAAGGCCATTGAGAATACAAGACTGGAATCAAGGTCACCAGATCAACATAAGAGAACTTGTCTTAGAAACATTTTTCTAGAATGTTAGAAATGCAGCTGTTCCAGAATTAATATACCTTCACACACTTAGGATATTAACAAAGAATAATCTCTATAATGATAGTATACACAGATCTTTGGCTAATGCTCAAAGAGGAGACAGCCTATAGACATTTTGTATACCACATATACTGTCAATCTTAAGGTTCATGTTCCAGGTTACACTGAACAATTTAAATAGAGACAGACAACTTGCAAGTCTAGCCACTTAGAAAGATGGGATAGTTACACAGCAAAAATATTTTCACAATTATCTCTTAAGTACATTAGTGAGCTGAAATAGCAAGTTCTTATTCAATGACAGGATCAGGAAGTGAAAGTGCTAGAGAAATGAGAAAGATAGAAAGAGCAGAAGATAGAAAAGACAAAAGCTGGGTTGGGGAGAACTAGCACAAATTATTTCCCATGCCAAGTTATCTTAAGAAAAATAGCATTTTAGCCATGTGGTGATAGCACACACCCTTAATACCAGCACTCAGGAGGCAGAGGCAGTCAGATCACTGAATTTGAGGCCAGCATAGTCTACAGAGTGAGTTACAGGGCAGACTCTAAAGCTACATAGAGAAACCCTGTGTGGAAAAGGGGGGGGGGGGAAGGAAGGAAGGAAGGAAGGAAGGAAGGAAGGAAGGAAGGAAGGAAGAAAATAGTATCTTGTATACTACTTCAAGGGATAAAAGGAAGGAACTTCTATGAAGTTAGCAGAAAGTATCATGCAATGGTACAAACTCAGGGAAGAGGCTAATCAAAACAAGAACACAGTGTATCTCAAGATCATTACTGACTACACCCATAGCTCCATGTAGTGAAAAGAGTTGGATTCTCAGGATTTGAAGAAACCCTTCCACAAAGGCCCTGGCCCAAGGCAATGGTTTGAGAGAATTCCTGGTTTGAGAGAAGGAACTCTGTTTTATTGTCAATTCATCAGGTCCTTAGGGAAAGCTTCCAAGGCCTAGGCCCCAAGCTGTTAATAGTTCTCCCAAGAATGTTCCTCCTCCCTGCCTGAGGGCACAAATGATAGTCTTCCTTGATGGAGCAAGTCCTTAACAGAACAGGATTTTACTTTTCAAATAGTTATCACCTGGTGTCATATTGACCATCAGACAGAAATATGCTTTTCTCAAGAAGAAAACTGGAACTTTATGGCACACCAGGTCTTAAGGTTGGTTGTGACCCTCTAATGACTCCTTCAGCATCTTGTTACAGGCCTTTTCATTGATAAAGGTTTGGGACTAGAAGCTGGTTATAAATCAGGGGTGGCTCCTTTGTAATGGTTTGGAGCAAAATGTCTTAACAATCCTGGTGAACAAATGTAATCTTTAAAGGCCTAGTTAGCATATACTTACCTTTAGGTTGTCTTACAGGCAGCCCTCCCTCAGCTATTTCTACTTTATGAAACTATCTCCTAAGCATTGGTAAATCCTTTATATCACCAATTCTAATCTTCCACCATCACGGCATAGTAATGCCATGCTACACATACACAGCACATGAGATGCCTTTTACAACCTCCACGAAATTTACTATAAATGAATCTTGTGCTGATGATATAGAAGATACTGGAGAAAATAGGTCTCTCCAAGTTTGGCCACCAACCTGCTTTTCATGAGTGCACCAAAAGCATGTTGAAATTGACTACAGAGATCTTCCTACACACAGTTCCCTGTTTCCTGTGCAGATTTAGACCATAGACCAAAGTTATTCATAGACCTGCCACATGGGACCTCACAGGACAGAAAATCTGGCTGCAGGTTTCCACCCAGATTCGGGGAGGACACACCACACCAGCTCCCACACCTCAGCATCTGCTCCTCCCCATTAGGGATCAGCAGCCCTTGCTCACCATGTTGTGGTTTCCCAGCTCGCCCAAGCTCTCTGTTCAGCTCCCTGTAGCAGCAATGGCAGCACAGCACACAGAAATGCTGCCTCTAGCTTGTCTAGCTTGTCTAGACAGTCCTGAAGCTGAGAGCAGGAAGGGCCCTGCACCACCTCTGATTGGCAGGTAGTCTGGAGGGTCTGATTGGTTAATGAGGCATGAGTGAAAAAAGCACCTCCTTTAGGATACACTGTGCTTAAAGACACAGCACAATGTTTACTGGCCATACCTTCCCCCAGACACCTTTTCCAGATCTGCAGAGGTAGGCATTTCAATAACACTTGACCCTAGATCCAATAACAGACCCTGCTATCTTCATGCTCTCCATAGGCACTTCCCCTTCTTCTTCCTGGACACAGTGTGGCTAGCTTACAGAACCCATAGCTCAATGTAGAGTGGATGGATGACCAGAATATTAAAAATTAAAGAGAGCTTTTAGGACACAAATAATATTTGTTCTGTGACTTCATGGTGAGGTCATGTAAACCACATGTAAATTTTTTTTCTGAATATCACAAAAGTTTATTTAGCAAAACGTTTCTTTTGAAAATGTACACAACCCAGTTCTACTCCCCAGTCAAATAGTTCTTTGAAGGAAGGATGGGAAGTCCTTTGCTGAGCAGCTATTCTTTATACTCTTTCTAAGGGTTCTACATGATGATGCTGTTTCCTCGTATGACCACCATGCATTCTGTTGCTCATAGTTGCCATCTCCACACACTTCATAAAGGCATTAAAGCCCTGTAGTATTCCTTGTACATGTCTGCCACCATTTAACTTCAGTGATAACTTCTTGTCCATAAATTTCTTCCGTTTGGGAAGATGGACCTTGCTTATGGTGACCCTTCAGCAGACTCCACGGAAGGCTGAGCAAGGTATCCCAACATAAGGAATGGGCTCCACAAAGCCAGTTCATGCATCCAGGATGCATCCTGCTCCCACTGCCAGGGGCTTCCCCAACAGATCAAACTACATAACTGTCACTCACATTCAGAGGGCTTAGTTCAGTCCTATGCAGGTTACCCAATTGTCAGTCCATAGTCCACAAACTCCCACTAGCTGTCTGTGGTTTTCCAGATCATGATCTTGACACAACCCACCCTGTTCATATGATCCATCCTCCCTCTCTTCTACTGAACTTCAGGAGATCAGCCCAGTGCTTGGCTGTGTATCACTGCATCTGCGTCTATTAGGTATTGGACAATTAGGGTAGTCACTAATCTGATTACAGGGGAAAGCCAATCCAGTCATAATCTCTGCTACTGCTAGGAATCCTTGCAGATTCCTGGGAATTTCCCTAGCAGCAAGTTTCTCTCTAACCCCACAATAGCTCTCTCTATCAAGATATCTTTTTCATTGTTCTCTGTCTTTGTCCCTCCCCCAACTTGGCCTTCTTGATCCCTCATTTTCCAATCCTGCATCCCGTACATTCTACCCCCTCCCAGTTTACCAGGAGATATTAACTATGTCCCCTTCCTGGGGCCTTCGATGTGTGTCCCTTTTAAGGTCCTCTTTTAAACATAGCTTTTCTCAGATTGTAGATTGTAGCCTAGTTATCTTTTACTTTATGTCTAATATCCACTTATAAGTGAGAACATACTGTCTTTATCTTTCTGGGTCTGGGTAGCTCACTCAGGATATATAATTTTTTCATATATATATATAATTTTTCTTATTTTATATATCAATCCCAGTTCCATCTCCCTGCCTCCCTCCCATACCCCCCTCCCACCTCCCATCCCACCCCTCTACTCCACAGGGAGGGTAATGCCTCCCCTGAGGGATCATCAAAATCTGTCAAGCATTTGGAATAGGGACTAGACCCTCCCTCCTGCCTCTAGGCTAAGGGAGTATCCCTTCATAGGGGATGTGCTCCCAAAGTCCTTTTGTGTACCAGGGATACATCCTGGTTCCACTGTCAGAGGTCCCTTAGGCTGCCTAGACCCATGTTCAGGGGTTATGCGTAGGTACAATGCTGGTTTCCTAGCTACATATAATTTTTAACCGAATTGTCACAGGGACTTCAGAAAACCATAACAGAAAAGCAGGGAACAAATCACTAGTAGGATGATAGGTCTTTCTCACTCCATAAGGCTGGATGATGGTTCCATTACTTTAGGCATTTTATTCCTGAAACTGAGATAAATTTCTTGAATAATGAATAATAGTAAAAAGTATACTCTTAATGGTAAATTGAATAATTACAAGAAATGGAGCAAGGAAGAATGCAGGTAAAAAACTAAAGAAAAACCAACAAAAATATAGCAGTATTGGTAAAGATTCTCTACTGAACACAACTATAGAGTTAATCTATGTATGTAGATAGTTTATTACAATGTCTCACAGGCTGTCTCACAGCTCAAATAATGACTATTTAACATGGAAAGCTGAAGAATTTAGTATTTCTTCAGTCCAAGAGGCTGGTATCTCATCTGATATTCAGTATACACCAGAATTATGAAGAAGAGGCTTTAATGTATTAAGGAATGAACTTGGTAACCAGAGCTAGGGCAAGCAGACAAAGAGTGTGAGAGCTTCCTTCTTCAATATCCTTTTTTATATGGAGGCTGACAACAGAAGGTGTAATCCAGATTAAACACTGCTCTTTTTGTTTGCTTGACTGATTTTGGGTTTTGGGTTTTTCAAGACAGGGATTATCTGTGTGGGTTTATCTGTGTATTCTGTAGACTAAGTTGGCCTTAACTGTGAAACCTGTCGATCATGATGTATTATATAAAAAATAGTTTTATCAATACCAGGATTTTCACAAATACAAAGAACAGAGAACACAATTTAAGAAAACATCAAGGAAAAGTCACGTATCAGCACTGGGGTTGCTGCTCTAGTTGGATAGCTCTGCTGAGATATTATAACTCCAGAACAAGGCAGCTTTTACCTATGGCCACAGCTGCTTATATGCAAGACCAGAAGTTTATTTTAACTAACATGGTTGTCTGTTTCAGGTTTGTGACATCTCTGTAGAGCATTCTATTTTTTTTTCTTTTTTTAAACTGTTGTGGACTATTAGATGAATTGTTAGATTTGTTTATGCTGTGTAATATTTGTTTAAAGTTGCAAAGATGTGTTGCATTCTTTTATAATGTATTTATTTAACTGTCTGCCTAGTTTAATGGCTATTTATCTTTTTATTAAACCAATAAGAAGGCACGTTGGCAATAACACATCTTTACAGTATACCAAAAGATTATTTTACAACAGGACATGGAGCCTTGATTTTACTTGCTAAGGGATTTATATAAAAGGACTTACTAAAGTACTCTATAAGCAGAAAGGACTGGCTAATGGGCTCTGCCCATTCCCCCATGGAGAGGTGTTCTCTCAGCCTATGCCATGCCCCAAATGATGTGACAGACTTTGAGGATCCCCCATGGAAGGCCTCACCCTCCCTGGGGAGTGGATGGGGTGTGGACTGGAGGAGGGGGATGAGGGGTTGGGAGGATGGGAGAAGTAAGATTGTTTCTAATTTAAATTTAAACAAATAAAATAAGAATATTTAAAAAAACAAAAGAAATATGGGGTCTGGACATCTATACATCTTTCTAAACAGGGCTTATAGGCTATGTAATGTTATGGTCAGTGGAGTTGTGTGTGTGTGGGGGTGTATTGCTATGATAAAAACACTATAACTAAAATAAACATGGAAAATAAAGGGTTTTCTTTGTTTACAGGTTACAATCATTCATCAGGGGAAGTCCAGAAACCAGAGGAAGGCACCTGGGAGCAGCCACTGAAGCAGAAACTGTGGAAGAATGCTACTTTCTGGTTTGCTCCCAATGGATTGCTCAGCCTGCTTTAAGTTTTATATCACCCAAGACAACCTGTGAAGGGTTGGCAATATCCCGTATGAAGTGGGTACTTTTCCACTAATAATTAATTTAAAAATATGTCCTACAAGTTTGCCTGGAGGAAATCTAATGGAGGCATTTTCTCAATTACAATTGCTTTTCCCAGGTAACTCTAGGTTGTGCCAAACTGACAAAAATCTAAACTAGGGAAGATGTTTTCTCACGCTAAACTTATTTATAGTCCAGAATGAGGGTAAGTATAAGCCAGTAGAGCTATCCAAAATAAAAGGCAATCCAAAATAAAAGTCCTTCAGGCGATTCTTACTCAGGATGCTATGAACTGATGCTTGAAAACCAGTATTCTGGTATGCTGGAGGAACAAAGAGCAAGGAGTGGTCACACATGCTGATTTCTGATAGTTAACAAAATGTTTTTGATGGCATTTTAGACTTTTCTGTGAAATTCTAAAGATGTTTTGGAAATTCTCAGTAGCAAAACATGCCAAAATTTGGGTAAGGGCTTGCAATGCACTGGGTGAAGGGGAAGTGAATCCTTTAGCTACAAATGAAGTACAACTTTTAAATCAATATTATTTAGTTGACATAAAAAAAGAATAAAGATGGCCCTTCATCCTCTAAGAATTGCAATTGTACAAAGGTGTGATGCTTGAAATTAATTTGTCTACTTTTAGTATAATTGGATAATAAACATGATATTAAACTGCCATAATCTCAAGATAGTTTTCATCATTTTAACAACACATTGGAAAATAAATTTCTGGCAGAGACATATATCCAATGTATAGCATTCTCCTGGCAAGAGGAGTGGAAAAAGTCACTCTGTATACTGCTGTTAAGTATCCAATCTGATTGGCTTCCTCTGTAATGAATAACTGACAACTTGTGATTTATGGATTTAGAGTAATTGAATTTCTTGGCTGTTATGCACTTTGAGCGAGAAATATTACATATGTTTTGAGAAAGATTACTTAGAAAAGAAAAGAATGAAGTGATGCTATGTTCTGAAATTTTATTTGGAAACAGTGATCTAACCAAATGTAACTTAAGTTATTCTCCCTAAGTTTCTGAAACATGTTTTCTAAATAATCTTTGAAAATGTAGTTTGAGACATAAGGTTAAACTTCTCCAGGAGAAGGAGTGCCACAACAACTCATTTTGCCTGTCAAACATTGACAGTTACTGAGTTAGTGTAATCTTTCTGCAGGCAGATATTTAAAGGTAGAAAAAAAAATATTGATCTCTAAAGCCAGTTCTCAGCTTTACTGTAGGCAGCTCTACTGACACATTCACTAGCTTGTACTAGTTCTGACGAGTCTGTGGATGTGTTTGATCCATGTAGAATTTTTAGTGACTGTGGAAGAACTTGCAGAAGGACTGAGGAAGACATTGAACACTTAAATCATAATACTTTAGAATGGTGAATGTGTCATTTAACCATGTCAGTTATGCATTTGTGGACACCATTAAAATTGGCTGCACAAAATTGTGTTCAAGGGTTTTCTAAACATTTCTAAATTGGGTATTATTACCCCAACTAGAAAAGCATAAATATGTGTGAGATACTGTTTGGTTGTTAGAATAAGTGATTCATTTTTATGGCACTTAGAGCACACAAAATGAAAAATAATTGACTTGAAATAAATGACAGTCTTTGAAATAAGTCTTTGCCACACTAAATGCTGATGGCAACTGACAAACAAATGCAAGTAGGACATCAGATATCTCTTAAATATGAAATTGGTAAACTCAGTCTTGCTTATAGTTACTTTATTATAATAATTTTATTGTTTCCTCTATCTTCAATATCCTCAACCTCTCTGCATTAGGAGGTCTCATCTTTTCTATGTCAAATAATCACCTTTCTGAATTCCATTATTCTATGGCTCTGAATCCCTTCTTCCTCATTCACAGGAACCTGACAAGATAGTAGTTTATTTGCATATTTATTGGAAGAGACCATTTTTGTACTACAAAAAAAATGCATAGGCTCTTTAGTTTCAAAGCATACAGTTTTATTACATAAACATCTGGAGTCATCATACAATGTTTCACATCAAAACAGTGGTGTGTATATTGAACACATATACATATACAAATATATTTTTAAATTTCCAGTAAAGTACAACTTCTTCTTTTTGTATGTAAGGCATACTCCACACAAGTTTCACTTATGTTTTCTAATTTAGTATCACATTATATTTCCTCAAGGGTAGGTATGTACTAAAACTATAATTTTTATTTCTTGTCATTTTGGGGGGAGTGAGGATTAAAATTTCAATCACTATCACTTTCATGTTTTAACTTCCCCCACTTAACTCAAGAACCACCTAATAACCCAAGTAAATAACTCCAATTTGAGTAAAGAAAACCCAGGTTTGGAATCATTACAGATAATGATGTGTCTAGAATCAATCACACACGCAGTGGAATATTTAGGTAACTGAAGTGTTTGCATCTCTTTTTAATTGTGTTTCTAAGTAGTGATAGCCTACTTTAATCTTTTAATATGTGATTTTAAAAATAATGCCAAAGGCATTAAATATGGTGATGTATTTTGATGCTGTATTTTACAACATGTCTACAGAGAAATGCTACCAAAATTAGAGTCAATGATTCCGTCTTTAAAAATGAAGCTACCTCATGTATCTATTAGTTAGAACCATAATATACACAAGATTTTTACAGTTTACAGTTTAGATATTTAGTGACAAATATGCCCATGTGTGGCATAAAATGAATAGTGATATTACTCATTATTGAGATTGAATCTATGGACACTATTTGTAATATAACAGACAATAAAGTATCTAAACAAGTGAGGAAGAGTCAAAACTATACCAAAAACAAGTAGGGACCAGCTATTTCTGTTAAGCCATAATTTTCTAAGGAGTTTATCTCAAAAGGGTGAATGATGACTTTGTCAAAGGCTCATGGTACCCTTAGACCAAATTATTGCTGTTTTGTTAGCACAATGAAAACTCGTGTCTTGCTTAAGATTATAATTTATTATAATACTGAGCACTAAAGAAATTGAATAACTCATAAAAATGAGTTGAAATTTGTTTAATTTGGGGAAGTAATAAAAATATATAATGCATTGTTACTTATTTAAAAATATTACTTTATATGTTGTCACATTAATTTTCAGAATTATCTCAAAGTCCATGCTATTTACTCATTTATACACATTGCTAGTTGCTTTTTTAATATTCCATTGTGGAAGAGAAGGATTGAGTCTAGCTATATGAATGTCAGTTTATCTTTCGATTTTCTTATACTGAAACACCTTCAGATACTTTGAGTATGTGCTTCTCCAAACATGACCAGTCTGTATTATTTAATATTAATCATCAAAGGACACAAGACACTTAAATAAAATATAGCAAACCTAGTGGTAACTTCACTTAGAATGATAAATCATTTTTCCTTCTATATAGTTTAATCGGGCTGAAAATTATTTGAAAGAAACATATCAGAAATAATCCTAAGTAATAATTTTTGTTTATAAACAAAGTTATATGATTGATATATATATTTAAACATCAATATTAATAATTACTTTTACATAAACACCATAATCACTGTAAAATACCTAACAAAAAAGTAATTATATTTATGCTTCAATATTCAAGTCACTCAGCTCCATACATGTAAGCCACAATTCTATCTACCCACAATATATTTAAGAAAAAGAAGGAAATAGAGTAAAAATTATGTATGTAAACTTAGAAACCTTTGAGCATTGGGCTTCCTTTAACTGGTAGAATACCCTCATACCATCACAATTTCTTTCCTATTACCTTTTTACATTCATGTAGCTATAAACAGATGCTGTGTGTATTTTCTCTATTTACAGTATATATACACCTATTTATAAACACATGCTTTATTCTTAGCTTCTTTCATGAACATTCAGATCAATCTGCAAAGCATAATGAATTTATTTTCCTTATATTATATTTTCACTTGTTCAAAAGTGCAAAAATATCATACAGATTAATATTCCTTAACTAAAAAATTACATTTATGCTGTACTTTTTGTAATTTACAAGTAAACTATGAAATGTAATTCACTCACAAATTGAAATTAATTACAATGTTGTTACAACAAGGCATTATTGAGGTTCTGATTTTTAGTAAACTTGAAGTCATTTGTCTTTCAAAACAAAGACATCAGTTATTATTTTTAGTTCTTGATTAGAATATGCAATTACAATTTTAAAGCTCATGCTAGTCAAATGCTGCTTATATATGGCATTTATCAATGCTGTTCCACTTATTGTTCTGGAAGAATCTTCTTCAGAACAACTGGTCAGTCTGCTGAAAAGACTAAGCCACATTTCTGGGAAGTTTTCACCCTATAGAAAAGGCTGCAGGGTAAGTGAGGCAAACTTGAGAAGGAATAATTTTAGTAGATGCTCAAGAGAAATAACAGAAAATGCAAGAAATCTTTTAATTGCAGCTCCCAGGCCTTCAGACTCTCCTGATTCATGAACAACCTGAAAAATGTTCAGCTCTTTAAAACATTGATTGTACTCTTCCATTAAATATCAGTTGTGGTCCTCCATTGCTCATGTTGTCTGTCATTTCCTGTTAGCAAAATAATATGAGTGAATTAAAACTCAATTTCATAGTCAGATATTGATATGCTTAATAGAAAAACAGAGATTACAATCTACTGAAGAGCATTTTGGGTGGGGGAAGGACAATGATTGATACTGTTGCTGTGATTTAGGAAATGAAATTTCATAGCATCTTCAATCATATGAAAATGTTGAAGTGGCAGCCAAACTTATATACACAAATCAGTTCACTCTCTTTCCACATGCTCAAGTTTCTTCCCTTTTCAACTCATTTTGGAAGGGACTAACCTATAATGAAGATGCCTAAGTGATCAGATTTTGCCAATACACAGCTCCTGCCAACCACATCAACAAAATGCCAACATATCCTACAGGTGTTTGTACAAAAATGAAAATGTGGCTCCTTTTGTTTATGAGCTGAAATACATTCACAGTGAGAATGACATTTGTTTTTGAAAAGGATTTAGAAATGTAACCTGGACTGAAATAGAACTTCAGTGCACAGTTGCTTAGAACTTGCTATCCTTTTGCCTCAGTCTTCTGAGTATTAAGATTCTAGTTGTAAACCATCATTCCTATCCAGGAAAATTTTTTATAATGACACTATCATTTATACACTATAAAACAACTTGGGCAATGAAAACTTGGGACATGTTTTTAATGTAATAATTACTAAAAAAGTAACAGGGAATTATCCTTGTGAAGAAATGAATATATAGACATGAAAAATAAAGTAGCATAAAGAGTTTCATTTGCAATTATAGCAAATATTTAAATGAATTTTAGATTATTTGAACTCTTATAGTTTATAGATTTTGTTTGTTTGTTTGTTTGTTAGGTTGGTTGGCTGATTATTGAGACTAGATCTCATGCAGCACAGGCTTGATACACATTACTATGTACCTGGGGTTGGCCTTTAATTTACAATCATCTTGTTTTCACCTTAAACCCAGGCATGTATCACATTCCTGGTCTTCAAGATGCTAGAGATGCTAGGCAGCCACTCTACCAACTGGGCCACATTCCCAGGCTCTGTTTGTTAACTGGTAAGCCTTTCATTACAAGAAGTCATGAGATCAAAGCCCATTCACATTTATCATAATATATATATTATATATTATCTATATATATAATATATATAGATAATATATTAGCATACAATATAGATATTATGTATTAGCAAAATTCTCTATTATCCAAGACTGACAATTCTTATACTTCAAGTTGACTTTCCAAATAGCAGCAAAAACATTTCAAGTGAAAACTACTGTTTTCATATTATCCTGCTTGTTACCCATTTCTAATTTGTTTCTGTTGTTTCTAAGGATGAGCACAGTTAAAGCAGTTCTGGAAATGTAGGGGTCATTGGGCTGGTGTTAAGGTTATAGTAATAAAAACTGAGTAATAGCATGATTAACCAAACCCAATTCCCAAAATTATTATTATAAAATTTAATGAAGCAGATTTTCTCATTTATTCTACTAAAAAAGAAATAAAACTTCTTAGTAGGTGCATAGAAATAAAAATTTCAGCTGCCTTTTCCATTCCCTAAAAAGACTGCAACTGAAAAAAAATCAACAAAAATTGCCTAAATAACATAAAACTAGAGTATCAATCTTTTAGTGTAAGATTTTAAGAAAAATGTTTTCTAAAATCTTATAAAGTCAAAAATATTCTTAACTAAAGACACTCAAACTCAGACACAGTAAAATTACTGATAGAAAATAATAGTGAATGTTAATTTTAAATGGATGAATCTCATTTGAAAATTTATATTTCTGTAAGACCATATTCCTTATTTAGGCAAGAGCAGACTTAAATACTTATAAGTAAATATATTTCCTTCAAATGGGGTGCAAATGTAACTTCCTGTATTTCCAGTTAGGCTCTTTGGCCAAACAAGAGCCTTGACTATTGTTAACAACTGGAAATATGGGAAATGTTGTATATCAGATAGTTTTACAAATAGAAACATTACACACATTTTACTATATTAATGTTAAACTTTGGTTATCTGTTCATTCAATATTGTCATGACAGAAATACAGTTTGTCTTTATTCAGACTCATCTATAATTAAAAACAAAGGTGTCATCTGTGAATGAGTCAAAAATGTGATGCAGCAAAGAATAAAGGGAATTATGAATCATCCAAGCAAACTGTGCTTGGATGTTTAGGGGCAGGCTGAATATTTGAAATACTAAACCACCTTTGAAGTTGTTAGATTCTGCCATGTAGATAATGTCTGATCCTCAGAGTAGGCCTTCTAAAAGGGCTACTTTGAGGATCATACAGCATCAGTCCAGACTGATCCGCTGACGTCATGGCTTTCTAATACAGGCAGTGCTTCCTGTAGCAACATTACAACATGGTGACTCCCTAGAAGTCAGCGTACCTTGTAGGTAACTCTGGTGTCGGGGGCACCACCGGGCAGCTGGGCAAGTCGGTTATTTCAATAGCCCTCAATCTCTAATGTAAATATAACAATTATACAATAAATATTGAACAGATATATACAAGGAAAAACTAAATAATACTAGCATACAAATACAGCATAAAGGAGCCACTATCACAATATGCAATTATCTTCTAATTTAGTTACCTATTTTAAAAATAAGAGTTTTTTCTAATATAATCTCAATTTTTTTATTTTAAATGACATGTACAAAAATGTCCACAATTACTTTCTTGAGACAGTTAATGAAAATCTCTTCTCCTTATGTATATTTAGTATATGCAGATGAACTACAAAATAAATATTTGCTAACTTTAAAATAACATCATAAAGAAATATGCATAACTCGATACTATTTCTTTTAGCTATGACTGTAAAATTTTATTTTCAAGAAATAATTTGAAATATAATTATCTTAGTTGATTTTTACAGATGTTTATTTTTTCTTCAATAGATGAAGTAACAGGAAGTGAATTTAGAAATGTATAGCAAATGTAATTGAAACACACAGAGCTCTTCCTTTACTAAATATTTCTTAATGCAGCTAATACAACTTTCTGTTTGAATAGGCTTCATAAAACAATTATGCAAGCAACATTGTATAGAATACAGACAAAGCAATCCAAATATGCATGAAGTGTAGATGAGAATTCAATGAAGCTATATACGTGTTGTAATATCTGCACTGACAGACAATGATTTTGTCTCCTTACTAAAGACCCTCTTTTATGCTTGAGGACCCAATTTACATAATCAAGCACATTTACTTTATAAGCACAAAGGATGCATTGAAGAAGAGAATTCATGTGATTTCTAAAGATGGCATTATTAAGTGGAGGCTGTATTTAGTTTATGTTTTTTCTCAGAATAGTACATGAAATCCATATTTATAAGGTGCTTAATATTTTATGAAATGCAATTTCAGGAGCTACAGTTTTGAATAGACAGAGGCTACAAAATTTTGGTGCAAATGACTGTGCTTGTGAATTGCAGAGAGAAACTAATTTTAAAAAACTCTTCTTAATCTGATAGGGTCAAACTTACAAGATGTGATTCCCAAATTGCGATCTAAGATTGTACATTGATTCACCTAGATTGTAGTGTTCATCACATGGCAGCGGTGTGAGGCAAAATGACAAAACTCACTTTCTCAGCCATTTCATGAGAGTGATGCAGGGAATGTTCCCGTTCTGAGAACATTCTCCTTTGCTCATAGCTGGCTAGACGACAAGTGAGCCAGGAGGACAGAGTGCAGCCCCCAATCCCAATACACGCCAAAGACATGGAAGCAAGGTGAAGTGGGTACAGAGATGAGGTCTTCTTTGTGACTGCCCGAAGAAACTGAAAATTCAGGATGCCTCCAATGAGTCCACAGATACAGCAGGCTGAAAAGAGTATCATCTGAGAAGAAGAAGAAGAAAGAAGGTATTAACACATAGCCTCGTGATGCTGCAGGCCAGGGATGGTAAGCATACAAAGAAGAGGGTGTGTTATCTTTTATTATAAGGAGGTACAACAGGTGTGCTTGTCAGTGGCGACCCCATTCAGACTCACTGCAGAAGAAGTGCATCATAGAACTCCTAAAATGGAACCAGTGATATACATATATATGTGTGTGTGTGTGTGTGTGTGTGTGTGTGTGTGTGTGTGTGTGTATCTCGTATGAAACTCTGAAAGAAATACATTTAGCTTTTGGCTAGATCCCGATAAAAATAATACCCACCTCTGATATGCATGCTTTTTGTGGGAGGAACAGACATCACCTTCCTGATCCCTCCCAGAGGTCCTCTGCAAGAAGCACTAATATAATTTGGAAGAATGGATGATGATCAGGTCAGATTCTTGGACTTAAATTCAGTTTCATTCTGTCATCTTCTCTAAGTATCTAAGTATTCATAACTTTCTACCTAGGTGAACTTGGGAGATTTACCTCAGTCTTTTTTTTTCTCATTACTTTTGCGTATGTTTCCCAAGATGGGCATCTTAGGGACTTTCCATAACCTGGACCAGCATCAGTCAAATCTTTTGTTGCCCTGTGACACCGCAGTTAATATTATGCAGTAGCTGTTTTCAAAAGTGTTGTTTGATTGTTTTGAAGGAACAGAGTGTGGCTTTTATTGTTGACCTTACTACTGCCTTCATATGGGTCTCTATTCATAAGGATAAGATGTTAAATGAATCTGAAGAGGACCCTTGGCAATAGTAAGTAATATACTTTCTGTATATGAAATACTCTGTGAATACTTAATAAATATAGTTGACTCATAATAACATTATTTGCTTTAAGCAACTGGTCTATTTTACCCTATGGTACTTAATGAATATTTTGTAGGGTATTACTAACTAATTATCCATTCATATTTCCATTTTCTGGAGTACAGTAGCCAATTACACTCCTCTCCCCAGCTCTTAGGACCAAGCAAGACCACTCATACACTAGGCAAACACTCTACAACTGTGCTATACCATTAACAAAACTTTCTTGTCCATTGATATGACACACACACTTCATAACAAGGACATTTACAGTGTCTTGATAATAATTTTGCATTTTCCTTGGATACCTAGTAGGAAAAATAGTCATAACTTTTTCAAAAGACCTTCCTGGACATTATTGATCTCATCTGTTGTGTTAATTGTTTAGGACAAACAGCTTTATAACTTACTTAGCATTTTTTACAATATAATATGTTGTTTGCTGTCAACAGTTATCAGAATTCAACAAGTAATTTTTGAGTACTGGCCCTAAGTGAGATAGCTTTTGGCATTAGAAAGAATTGTGCTTTAATACCTTTGAGTGTATTAAGGTTTAACATATTAAGCATGGCAGGGCCAATATCAAATGAGGTTCAGAGAGAGAGAGAGAGAGAGAGAGAGAGAGAGAGAGAGAGAGAGAGAGAGAGAGAGAGAGAGAGAGAGAGAATAGGTTGATTTAGGAGTAGAGAGAGGAAAAATTTATCAAGTAGTATTGAAAGCAAATTCCTTGAAGAGGGCCAGGCCATGAATTTATGAAACAGAACTAAGAAAAGGTTGACAGGCAAAGATTTCTACTAGTCCAGTCATTTGCTTCATTTCTCCAACTTAAATCTGCCTTACTTATTGTGCTTATGTCAAGATACTTATCATCAGGACTGAAAACCTAATGATAAAACAATAAAATCTCTGTATATGTGATTGAATATAATGTTGAAAATTGACTACTAAATCACAAAATTGTTCCATTTAGTGGCAATGTATATTTTAAAACTTAAGTAGAATCAACAATCTGCATCCTATTTTAAATGATACTCACTTGCCTTGCAGTTTCTTCAGTATAGCATATATTTTGATGTTTACTCATCAAATACAGACAATATTAAATGATCATACATTCTAGCCTTCGACTAGTGAATGAATGCTAATTTTTAAAATAGATGAAATATTTATTTTTCTGGGAACACCTATGTGTCTGCTAACATTATTCTCATTGTCTTTAATAGTTAATAATACTGTATTGATATGCACTGCAAAAAAATGTTCCCTATGAATTAAAGTATTAGAATTAGTGCCTAGGTTCTTTTTTGTGATTTTTGTTTTACTATTTTCTTTTTATTACTCTTTTTCTTATTTTACATATGGATCCCAATTCCCTCACCCTCTCATCCTTCCATGCCCTCCCATCCCATTTCCCACCCACTACAGACGGAGAGAACTGCCCAGGCCTTGAGACCCATGTTCAGGGGATCTGAGTTGGTCCAATGCTGATTTCCCACTTATCAGTCTGGGGTCCATGAGCTCCCCCTTGTTCAGGTCAGCTGTCTCTGTGGGTTTCTGTAGCCCAGTCTTGACCCCTTTGCTCATCACTCCTCCCTCTATACAACTGGATTCAAGGAGTTCGGCTCAGTTTTTAGCTGTGGGTGTCTGCTTTTGTTTCCATCAGCTACTAGATGAAGGCTCTAGGATGGCATATAAGTTAGTTATCAATCTCATTATAAGGGAAGGGCATTTAAGGTAGCTTCTCCACTATTGCTCAGATTCTTAGTTGGGGTCATCTCTCAACATTTCTCTAGTGTCAGTTTTCTCTTCAAACCTATAGAGGCTCCCTCTATTATGGTATCTTTCTTGCTCTCATCTATTCATTCCCCGACTAGTGTCCAGGCTCTTAATAATATGATATTTAAAACCCCATTAGGCAAGGGATTCTATACTGAAGAGACATTAGTAAAGAAGACATGCTGTGAAACATTTACCATACAACTGGAAATCCTTGGGAATACCTGCCACTTATGGATTTCAGAAAATACAGGAAGATAATGCACTGTTTAATGGTAACATAGTTACATGGAAACTTTGCAAAAAAGTTACCTTTATAACTTATAAGAGAGCTGAGCAGTGGTGGTACATGTCTTTAGTCCCAGCACTCGGGAGGCAGAGGCAGGCAGGTCTCTGTGAGTTTGAGACCAGCCTGGTCTACAGAGCTAGTTCCAGGACAGGCTCCAAATAATACAGAGAAACCTTGTCTCAAAAAACAAACAAACAAATAAATAAATGAAAATAAATAACTTGTAAGAAAATTAGAAAGACAGTGAAGACAGCTCCTTAAAAATTAAATCATCCACTTTCCTCCTTCCATGCCTTTCATTCATTTTTGTCATCTTTTAATATTTTTGTCATCTTTTAATTTATTCTCCAAGCAAGTTGTTCCAATACAACCATAACAGAGATTGATAATAAAAAAAGTATATAAAGAATAAAGGCCACACCTAAAGAATGATGGAAGAATTATAGATGCCAACTAGAAATATAAACATATTTTCCTAAATGTTCTCATTACTTTCAAATATTTAACTCTTATTTTGCACATGACTGTCATAGTGACTGCTTTATCTGTCTTTCATAAATAGATACCATCACAAAGAAAGACATTAAAGAAAGATGGAAAATGAACAAGACTAGGAGGACCCTCACTTACTGCTCTGATCCCATACCTGAATTGTCATTGGAAAACATTTTTTGAGGTCAAAGAACATTCTCTGGTGTCCTTGTGTAATTAAAGTTACTAATTAGCAAAAGTGTATGTCTTTTTCTTCCTTTCCATTTCAAAATGTCACAAGGGCAGAAAGGAGTCCACACCTCAGTATATAGGGCCTCTTTACAGACAATATCAGAGTTAATAAGGAGCATGCTGCCTATCCCAGAATCCTTTGATAGTACAATAAAAAAATCTGAAAATGATTATATATGTATTCACAGTAATGAAAATGAATTAAATAAATCTTTAAAATGAATTGACTGCAACCATAGCACCACAGCTTTCTTTGTGCTTTGCAAAATTAGCTTTACAGAAAAAAAAAAGTAAGCAATCCTTAGGCTCAGAACTATATTTAAACAGTTCAATTTCCCACAGAATAATTTTTATGTTTATTAGTTGCCTGAAGGAGCCAGATGATAGCCTGGGAGTCTCTAAGTGGAAAAATGTAAAGAGTCTTTTGCATAGCAAATATTAAAGTTTGAATATTCAAGTATTTAAGGAGTGTGTAAAAGCTTTTTAGGGACTTTGATATATTTTATTATCTCTAATGTTATTGATAGTTTTCTTTGAAACAATAAGCTCAAAATTTGCTTCTTAGTTTCTCTCAGAAATGGCTCAGAGGTTAACACTGACTGCTCTTTCTGAGGTCCTGAGTTCAATTCCCAGCAATCACATGGTGGATACAACCATCTATAATGAGATTTGGTGCCCTCCTCTGGTGTGCAAGTGCACATACAGGCATAACACTGTATACATAATAAGTAAATAAATAAACAAAAAAATCTTTTAAAAATATAGGATACAACAAGGAAAAAAACTTACAACAAGTCCTGACTTTTTTTTGGCGCACAGTATTCCACATATGCCACAAAGAAGAAACTGCAAAAGAAAACAGAATTATAGTATTTACATAGAGAGGAGAAGATTAGTTTTTTTTTTTTTTTTAACTCGTTATAATCCATTCATGACACTTGCTCCCAGGAAGCTTACATGTTTCAGATTCCCATCAACCCTCCTCCCCCAATTACCTTGTTGTAGAATATCAAAGGCTAAAATTTATTTATTTATTCATTATTTATTGTAAAAGCTAAGTGTGAGACTTAAGCAAAACTTAAATCATTTTACCACCAGGAAGAAAAAGTGAAGTAAACAAACTAGAATTTTGTTACTATTGATTCATTTAACTGTTATTTCCTTATCTAATTTCTCAGAGACAATGTGTTATACTACATTCATTCATAGTAAGCACTTAGACCTCAATAAGTTATTATGTGGACAGGGAAAATAACCTAGATAAAAATATTAGACATCAAACAAGGAGACCATCCTCCATATAGACATTATTCATATTTCTCTTTTTGATACAATGACTACATCATTCTGACAGAAAGATTGTCTCCTTGGACATGTTCAAATAACCCAAACAGTAGAATCAATTAATGGCATACAATTTTACATACATAAGAAACTGGCTACAAAGATGTTTTGTAAAATCAATTACATTAAATCATTTACCCATGATAAAGATATTTTGTGTGATAAAATAATCAAGAGTTTAATTTATATAGAAATATTTAGGGCTGTTTGAATACAAATTTGTTCCTATTTGAGTTGGCCTAACCATGTAGTAAAATAATTAATAATTAATAAGAAAATTAATGTTTTTAAATTTTCTAAGAAACTCTCTTCCACTTGATTTTTATTTTTTTTTGTTGTTTTGTTTTTATACAGTGAGTAAGGTTCTTATAATCAAGCATAACAACCTGAGTTCAATTCCTGTGATTCACATAGTGGAAAGAAACAATTCCTTCAGGTTGTTTTCTGATGCTCATATGTGTAAATACACACACACACAAACACACAAACATACACACAAATTACATAAATAAATGTAATATAAATGTCAAAATTTCTCAAGTCATAGCTAATAATGTAAGTAGTTTCAAATAAGTATTTTGTATCTGGATATATTTTTACAAAATACATACCAAAATCTTCTAATTCTTCCCTGAAATAATATGCATATGAGAAATATATTGAAAAACAATGGGCATGGGAAAGGGACTCTCCCATATGAGAAAAAGGGTGTTATAAACCAGGTAGTATGTAGCAAGAGAAGTTAGTGAGCACAAGATACATAAAAACTGGATAAAGATCTTAGATATAACGAAGATTATAAGGATCATTAATTTCACCAAATAAGTTAAATAATCTTTCCAAATATCTTATAGAAAAATTAACATGGAGTACTTTTAATGTTTATATGTACATTTCTTTTTTTTTCAAATCATAAAGGAGAAAACAACTTAGTATAAATTCAGAGAACTAAGAAATATTTTCTGAGTACAAAACCAATGTCATGAACAAAAATATACCTTGGCCTTTTGTACTGTTTTTACCCCACAAGCTACAAGATTATGCTCAAGCAATTCTAGTTTAGACAAATTATTTTTACTTTAGTTCATCAAGCTTTAGCTCAAAGTCTAAGCTTATCCTTCTTTTCAAATTTCACTAACTAGTCTGTTAATCAACCTGGAATTCTTCAAATAATTTGGTAGCAGCACAGTTTTGTGTTCCTTGGTTTGTCTTGAAATCTATATATACTGCCATTATTTCTTTACAGCAAAGCTTAAAGGTCCAGAAAAGCATAAGCAGAACTTTCTATTCCAGGCACTTGGTTAGGACATCAAAATCTAAGGAAATTTCTCCTTCCTATCTTGCCACTTAACTTGGATGGAGTTAAGGACCTTCAGTTGAGTATTTAAAATACCTTCTGTAATAGCTATTTTAGTTATGGTATCTAAAATAATGGAAATTTGAAGTACAGTTGAAGAGCTCCTGTCTTAAACTTAGAGTGTGGTTCTCTTCTTTTCTAAACCCAAGCATGCTTGATAAAGCAAAATCCAAGATCTCTGTCTCATGTCAGCAGAGTCACCTAATACAAGACAGAAGAAAAGCCAATATTTAAGGACTATTTATTGCCACAAATCTCACAATCCTTTGGTTCATAATATTATCTCAAAAAATTAAGATATATATATATATATATATATATGTGTGTGTGTGTGTGTGTGTGTTTGTGTGTGTGTGTGTGTGTGTGTGTGTGTGTATTTTAAAGTTTTTGTCATGATATTAGTGGTCATGCAGAGTAGTAACCAATTCTAGAAAAAAGTTTGACTATCTACCAATTTTCTGCAGTGAACGATGATGACACCTAACAGTGACCTTTGAAATCTCCAAAAGGAAGATGGTGCCCCACAACAACAATTCCACCAGGACAATGGTAACACTATAAGCTGACAAACACCAACTAAAGATAAGCTTTGGACTATGCTCAAAACAATTTTGAGGTGGCTAGCTGAGATGGTCCAGCTTCACAGACTGCTCTAAGCAGGACTTGAGACAAGCCTTGCATTTTCCAACTACACAGGGACTAGACAACAAATTATATAGCTACCTCTTCAAGGACTTGACAATTAACCAGAATCTCCTAAAGATGTAATGCCCCAGACAGCAGGAAGTAACTTTAAGAACATGATATACATATTCCCAAGAGTTGGGGTGGGTAGCTTTTAGCCATTCAGTGGGTTATTAGATATTTGTCATTGTTTAGGCTGTTTAGGTTACAAGTTGTTATTAGTAAAGGTCATGAAAAAAAGTTAAACAAAAGATAAATCAGGCACTGGGGAAATGTTCAGAAATATACAAGGATGACCTCAACTAACAATCTAAGTAATAGTGGTGAGGCTACCTTAAATACCCTTCCCCATAGAGGAATACTTAGCCTAGAGACATGGAGAGGGCCTTGACAGATTTTGATGATCCCTCATGGAAGGCCTCTGGTAGTGTATCAGTATTTATCCCAAGTATACAAATGGACTTTGGGAGCCCATTCCACATAGAGGGATATTCTTTCATCCTAGACACATGGGGGATGGCCTAGGCCCTGATTCAAATGATATGACAGACTTTGAAGATTCCCCCATGGAAGGCCTCACCCTTCCTTTGGAGCACATAGGGCACAGGATGGAGTTTGGGAGGGGGATGGGGAGGAGGGAGGGTAAGGGAACTGGGATTTACATGTAAAACAAGCTTGTTGCAAATATAAATTTGAAAAGAAAAGAAAGTGCCTTGCTTGTAGTTTCCTAAAGGAAAAGACATATATAAAATAAATATATATATATATTTATATGCATAGAATATATATATATATTCTATGCATATAAAAGTTATTTCAAAGAACAACAAAGTGGGGTGAGAGTAAGCTTCTCAAATGGGAAAGGGGACATTTCAAAGAATACAATAGGGAATTACAAAACTGAAAAGAGATTAAAATTTCTTTTAAGAAATACAATTTTCTCACTGCTACAAAAGTTCTAAATAAAACAGGATCTTACAAAAACATGATCCAAGCTGTTCTAGTTAGCAGATTTTGGGAAAGAAATCTGGAGAGTGAGGTTTATGAACAGGATTCTGTAAGAAAATGGTTTAACTGAAGCAAAGTTAAGGATGCAGTAAGGATGCTAAATTTCTGAGCTGTTTCAGAATAGCTCTGAATGGTGGTTTCTGAGCCTCGTTGAACTATGTCATTAAGTGCTTGCTTTTAACTCCCTCTGGATGAAGAACATTGAAAAATCTGAACTTTTCTTACAGCCTTTCACTAGGGCCCTTCTTCATGACTCAGCAATTTTGTCATTCTAGTGAAGTTATAGAAGACTATACATTTGTCACTCAGCAGTATTATGAGAAGATACTTCAGTCAGTCAAAAATAGCTCACAGGGGAAACAAGCCAGATAATAGGTGCTGGCTCACAACCCCCAAAACGATTTAGCTTGACAGGTTTCCTATTTCCTGGAGTTGAGTTGTGCATTTACTGAAAAACCCACAAAGGTTGCAGGAAGAAATAATAATGTGGTAATCTATTTAAATTGGGTTGTAATAAAGAATGTGGCTATGGCTTTGGAAAGAAAACTAAACACTGCCTTCTATATCACTATCCTTTAGCTATTATTAGCTTTGCAGAAAGAAAATTTGCAAGATATCTCAGAAGATGGACCTTTACCCTCATCATCCAGTAATTTTGTTTTTCCTGTTAAAACATCCCAAAAGGTAATAGTTTTGATTCTATAAATAAATTCTCCATTTTCTATATTTTGGGTTTTCAAAGTTTGCAACACTAATTATCTGAGTTCTCCTGAAAACAACTATAGAAAAACTACATAAGCATATTTTACTATTTTTATGTTGTGGGTAGAGAAATGAAGATGTCAAAAATCACATAGCAACCCACTGTCAAACATATAATGAAGTTGAGATTCCCATATTATTACCCACTGTACTCTTTTTCTGTTTCATGTTACCTCTGAAAAATCCAAAGGTAACAATACAATGATCTTGTCAAAAGATATTCCTTGATAAAATACATAATGTTCATTTTCTTGAAAGCTTGAAGGGGCATTTGTTTTGTGGTAAGGGCTGATATAAGTATGCCTATCACCTTGGTGTTAACTATTTCCTGGAAAGTGTTTCTCTTCACCCCTTACATTCAAAATCATATTCTGGCTTCCTGCTGTATCTGTTGGCTATTTATGTATGAACTGAACATTAACTAAGCACCTTTCCATTGATTCCTTAATAATTTATTTTAAAAGGAATATTATTAGAAAAAAAGTGGAGTCAAAAAAATCAAATCTGTATAAAAAATCAGAATGGAATGCAAAAGAGTCATCCTTGTGCTTAAAAAAAAAAAGATGATACAAAATCAAAAATAAGAGATTGAAAGAGCTAACTCCTTCCGGATACACATTCATCTAATATTCAACTTCTGCTCCCACCCCACATCCTGCCAGAGGGACCCAGTGTGGAGGATCCCACATGA